ATAGAGAGAAAGAGAGAAAGAGAGAAAGAGAGAGAGATAGAGAGAAAGAGAGAGAGAGAGAAAATAGAGAGAAGAGGAGAGGAAGAAGAGGGAAGTAGGGAAGAAAGAGAAGAAAGGGAGAAAGAAGGTAAAGAAGAAGAAGGAGTGTGGATACAGTGAAAAGGGAAATGGGAGAGCAACACCAAAAGTCATGTGTATGTATTTATTTCATTTTATTAAAAGTATCTTATATATAAGAATGTAAAAAGAATGTATGTTAACATCTGATAAATATCACGGTATATGTATGGGGGAGAGTTTTGAAAAATAACAAAATAAAAAATAAAAATTTTAAAAAGGAGTCCTCCTTGCTGTGTGATGCCCACAATCACGCCGGAAGGCAACGCTGAGGGACTGATGGATCCAAGGTCACTTGGCGATCTACAAATGAATTCAAATTTGTGTGTTCTGAATTTGACCCATCACTGCAACCAGAGTACCACAGCATCCACCGTTCCCACTATTTTTATTTTTTTTTTTAAAAAAGAGTAAACATCTCAAAGATATTTTTTTTTTTAAAAAAAGATGATTTTGGTTTTATTGTTATTGTGCTGATGTTGCCAGTCCTGTCATTTGTTATGCTTGTGTAACTACATTAGAATTGCCAGCTTGTGTTTTTGTGTGTGTGTGTGTGTGTTGTTTTGTTTGTGACAAGTTTCTCAGGTTGAACAACTACCTGGAGTTAGATACTGCAGCTTGTATGCCAGGAAAGGCTCTGCAAATTGAATTCAGCTGATGCAGAAGAAAAAGGCTGTATCTATTTATTAATCACATCCATATAGCCACTCCTCTCACACAAAGGGAGGGAAAGAGAGAGAAAAAAGAGAGAGGGGGTGTCTGTTGGGGTCTTTATTTTTCTGTGTGAAACCGGAAGGAAAGAATTTGCGATGTAAGAAATTCAAAGGCAAGCAAAAATTAAAAAAATTAAAAAAATGGCACTAACAGATTGGTCTGCTCTGGTGGTTATTACATAATCTTGAGCAGAAATGAGGAACAGAATCTGTGCAAAAAAAAAGTGTTTTGAAGTTCTGAATGGGAAAAAATACATAAAAATAAAACAGAACAGAGCCTTCTAATTCAGACCAGTCTTTCCACAATTCTTACCCAGCAAGTAATGGGAGGTGAGCTTTGTATCCAAACTCAAGAGAGGAGTTAACTACAGGTTCAACTGTATAGATAATCCTTTATTCCCTCCGGGGTCAATT